CAAAGCAGCCCCAAGACATCAGTGAGCCTCCACCATGTTTGACTGTAGGGATTGTATTCTTTTCTTTAAAGGCCTCATTTCTTTTTCTGAAAACAATAGAATGATGGGCTTTACCAAAAAAGATGTAATTTTATTTTGTCCATCCACCGCACATTCTACTAAAAGGAGAATTTGCTTCCTCAGACAGGTAGGTAGGTTTTTGCAAACTTCAATCTGGCTTTTGTATGTTTCTGTGTCAGCAGTGAGTTCTTCCTGGATCTCCTACCATAGTGTTCCTTTTCATTGTGATGGCAACATATAGTGTGAGATGACACAGTTGTACCCTGTGCCTGAAGGTCAGCTTGAATTTGTCCGGAAGCTGATTGAGGTTCTTTATCCCCCATGCAAACAATTTTTTGTTGCAATCTTTGATCAAAGTATCTCTTTTATCCACATCCATGGATATTAGCTACAGTGCCATGCGCTGTAAACTTCTTGAAAATGTTGTACACAGTGGACACAGGAGCACTAAGATCTCTGGAGATTGACTTGTAACCTTGGGATTGTCCATGGTTTTCCACAAATTTTGTTCTCAAATCCGCAGATAATTCTTTGCTGCTCTTTCTCTTCTCCATGCTCCATGTGGCACATAGAGACACACAACAGAAAGGTTGAGTCAACTTTTCACCATTTTAACTGTTTGCCGGCCTGATTTCTATATTGTCAGCACCTGTTAATTGATACAGGTGAGTTTAATTACAAATTACAGAAGCATCATAAACTTGAAATGCAATTATTTCTTACAATTTGGAGAAGGTGCCAATAATTTTGTCCAATCCATTTCTGGGGTTTTGCATGGAATGTGTCAGATTTGGCTTTGAGTTTTTCCACTTTTTTGTCTCATACCAATACAAATACAAGAAATACACATGAGAATGCCTAAACATTTGTAATTGCAATCATTTTCTGGGTGAAGTGGTGCATTATCTGACAGAAATGCAGGGGTGCCAATATTTCTGTCCATGACTGTATACATTAACATAGTGTTTTGATTCTGATGTTTTACTGTATCAATTTGGAATACTACTCTGCTATTTTCTGTGCTATATGGACATTACCACTTTGTATGACAAGCTGATTTACTAATACCAAGTGATTGGAGAGCTAGTCAAATATTAATCTGACTTTTGGCCTAGGTAAGGGCCGTACAATTTGGTGCATGGCACTGACAGTGTGCAAGTTATCTTATCTCCTGCAAGGTTTGCAGATCGACGTCTATAAATCAAAAACACAAAAGCCAGGAACCAAGTCACTATTCAGTCTATAGGCTTGTGTACATACATTAAAGTATGAAAATGAAGAAGAAGAATGCCAATTAAACAATAAAGAAACTCAAGGCAAGCATTGTGACCAAATAAAACATCACTTGGAACAGCTAAACTACTACACAAGTACCCTCCTGGGGGGTGCAGGTTGAGACACCCTCTAATGAGGCCATTTTATTAACTGCCTTTCCAAATATCTCCAAGGGCTACCAGCAACAAGTAAAGCTACTAACATTCACTGGGCAATCAATGGTTTGATTTACAGGCTTTGAAATCCCATCTGACTTGTCTCTAAATCTTATCTGGGAGATTTCCCCTCTCTTCCTGTCAGGACAGGAAGTAATGGAAAATCTCACAAATGAGGAACACAGACAAAAACACAATTAATAGTGTGAGGAAGAGATAGAATCTATATCAATGTTCTTATTGCTGTTCCTGCCATCCTTTGCTGGTGACAGCCACATCCCACATTTCTTGAACAGGCATCACAGGGACAGAAAGTAAAGACACATCTCCCTAGTATGGTCACAGACAGAAAAACCTGGCAGAAAGCTTATTTATTCCCTACTCTATTAAAGAAATACTGCCTGGAGTAAAGCTTTAAGGACAAAGAAAAATGACAAGAGACTGCAAGATGTTTCTAGGTAACAAAATGATTGCCAGATACAGTTGTAACCACTTTCAACTTGTGGGACGTTACAAATGACATTGTATATGACACATGAAAAGTGAAAGGATCCCTGAGAAGTCTTTAAAAAAAGTTTGAGTAGCCCTTGCTTCTAAGAGATTTTTTCAACATATATTCAAGAGTTAATCCTACCAAGTCCCGTAACTATACTACAGGGGAAAAAAAGCAATGGCCAAATTGGACAAAACCACAGCACTCTTTTGTATGCTCAGAGATGACCATACTAGGTCCTGTGATTATGCTATAGTGGCCACAAACAGAACGAAATGGCTCCTGCACCACATACATTTTTTAGTGTAAGGTTGGGCTAAGTAAACGTTAACCATTTTCATGTGATGTGCCTTCAGGGTCTGCCAGACACAGATGTGGCTTGAGGTAGCCATGTTTGCTATAATACCCTGCACCATAACAACCAATGACAATATGCAGCCTGTGAGCTGAACATACACAGTACTGAACATGCAGGACAGAGTTTTCAGTATGGACACTCCAGCTTCAATGCCACCCCCACAATACCTCCATTAATGTCACCTGAGGTGACCACCAATTGCTTTCATGGATAGTACAGTCCTGTGTGTCTTATACATCATGGATGTTTTATATCCCTGTCTATCTCCACCCCAGGAATAAAACAGTGTAGAGGCCATTAAGCAGTTCTATGACCATATAAAAGAGACACAGATCCTCATCCAAGTGTTCACACAACCAATAGTGTTATACAGATCTTTGATGTGATCCCCAGTATCATGTTTCGGAGTATTTACAGAATGGAATGTGTGTGATTCACATCATACTGCAATCTTCCTCCATTTATGGGTACTCTGTTAACTTGTGATGTACAGAAGATCAAAGATATAGAGGATGAGTCAATGGAATTGTTTTATCAACTGCCACTTCAACACATGGTCTCTCATCAGGTGCCACTTATTTTTAAAGGAAACATTTACTGAGATAAATATGTAGGCTGCCATTGCTGGTCTTCTTTTAAAAATATCAGATGCCAAGCTATCTCTGACTTAAACTCTTTCTGAGCCACTGGCATGAACCAAGTGTGCAAAACAAGCATCCTGACTTCACTCTTATTTTATCTTGCTACATACATGCTGGGCTAGTGACTCAAAAAGCATTAAAATAGACAGAGGGAGGTCAGCAATGCTAGCCTATTTATTTATCTCATTACAGGTTTCCTTTTTGTCTTCTATAGGTTTCCTGGCCAAATTCACAAAGGAGTCCAAAACAACTCTAATGATTTATACCATACAACATGTTTCAAGGACAAAACACGCCCCCTCCCTTCATCATGGCTCAGTAATTTTTGTGTTTAAATGGACCCAGTGAAGCAGATACCTATGAGATCCTAAACCTGCTGCTTATTTCAGAGCTGTCACAGTATGTGAGACTACCATCTTTACAGGGAGAGCTTCCACCTCACAGGAGACTTTGCATGATAAAATAAACTTTCATGTTAGACAGTGATAAATGTTGCAAATGATAGTCATGCTGAGGACTGGTTCCAAGTTACAGAAGGCCCATAGGAATATATTAAAGGGGCTCTAGGAATTGAATGCTTATTAATACAGTGTAGTAAAAGGAAAAAAAAGTAATGTAAAGGGTTTAATGGCTCTGGTTGGGCGTCTCACCGGCAAACATCCCCAGACCAATCACAGTAAAATGGCACACACTGGTTTGTTGCAGCTGTTTTACTGGCACAACAATTAAAACACAGAAATCAATAGGTAACCCTTGTGAAGGTTGGGTGCATGGCAATAGGGTGGTATTGTGCAAAACCAGGGGCAGACTGACCATTTGGAAACTCGGGCACTTCCCGAGGGCCCGGGGTCAGTAGGGGGCCCCATGAGATGCCCTTTGGTACCTTTTTCATAGGCTTTTTTGAGTTTGGGCAAGGACACAGGGGCCCCATGATCCCCTATTGCCTGTGGGCCCCATGAGTTGTCAGTCCGCCCCTGTGCAAAACCCAACATTGAAAAGAAAACCAGCAGACAGAGAAGTAGATTCGGAAGCAGGGTTTACTGAAGTCTTATATCACCACAAAACTTCCACCAATGCTCCAAAGCATGGTGGCCCTCTTTTTCAAAGTGAAAAAGAGAGAGCTACAGTGCTCTCAAAACATTGGTGTAACATTTTTGCTGATATAAAACTTCAGTAAATCCTTTTTCAGAATCTACTTTCTGGTTTGTTGGTTTTCTTTTCATTGTTGGGTTTTACTTGCGTAATTCTTCCCTTTTTGATTCCTTTGCAAGCAGTAGGCTTAGAATTTCTCTGACATCTGCTTCCCTGAGTCCATCCAAACACTTTCAGACATTAACCTCATTGAAGGGGAAGCATGTTTTGCCCCAAAATTGCATTTCATGTATCATTAAAGCTGTTTTGGACTCCTGTATGAATTTGGTGTACTGCACTTCTGTTGGTTTAGGCTCCAAGTTACTAAAGACTGCTATAGACTGTTGGCAAGTAACAGGAGGCTTTTGAAGAGAACATTGATTGATCTGGTTGAGAAACGTTTTCAGTCACTACTTTTCTTAGATGAGTTAAGCAACGTTGGACAGTGCAAGCCTAGGCCCCTCTCCTCCGCCCACTAACCTGAGCAAACCTTACAAGTTTTTGGATATCTGCTCCTCAGTACTGAAAATGGCAGTCAGATAGCAAATGCATGCCTGACCTCTCTCTGATATCCATGGGTTTCCCTACGCAAGAAAGACAAAATTAATGAAAGGGAAACACATTTATTTTGGATAGCTGCTCTCAAAGTTTCATGAAACATTTAAATATTTATCTATTATTGTTAAAAAAAATCTCCTTTACATTTATCAGTTTATGAAAATGGCATTATTTATGTGTAGTGGTTCTCTCAGTCTACACAGGTGCTTTGCCACCCTTGGATCATCGATGGTCAACAAAACATCCTCTAGTAAGTGCTTTGATAGAATTGCCAAGATTTCTCAGACCAACAGACTATCAAGATGCATAAATCCAGTTCTCTTAGTGGGATGATCCGATGGTACGTTTATGCCATCCATGGGCTTCTGTGTGAAATACTGTTTACGTCAACCTGGGACATTTTTGCCACGAAGAGCTGGAAACTGATAGGAGTCAGCAGCATCTGGGCCATTTTCATATATGGGACAGCCATTTTCATAATTGAAAAGATGTCTTTTTACCTGCAAAGGAACTGTCCCCTCATTTTTCGGTGTCTTGTATATACCCTGTGGACATACATCTGGGAATTCTCTACAGGCTACGTGCTGAGGATTTTTGATGCATGCCCTTGGGACTATTCTCATTTCCCTGGAAACATCATGGGCCTTATCACATTGGAATATGCAGTACCCTGGTACTTTGGCTGTATGATAGCAGAGCAGGTGGTCATCAAATACACACTCAGGTTACAGTTACCTCAAGATAGAAACCAAGCAAAATACAAATGAACTGCATATTTTTCAAGTCATGCAAAATTTGACTTGCTATGAAGCCAAAATGACAACACAACATGTATAATTTTTTTTAAAAAATGTATAACTCTAGGATCACACTATTGCAGTGTCTTTATGACTGCGTTTGTGCATTCATTTAAATAGGCTACACTACCTATGGAAAACACGGAAAAGATCCCCACACTTTTGCCAAAATCACAGCCAGGGAAACCGTGTAGTGCGGTTCCCAGCATGTGGTTAACAGTGTGTGGGTGTGCCACTAAGAATCAATGGCACTCCAGTACATCTGCAGCATTTTTTTTTTTTGCTGCAGGTGCGGGAAACTGTGCGATTTACATGCAGGTATACCTAATTTTTGAATGTGATGTATCTAAAATACTTTTTAAAAGAAATTCAAGCAATTACCATAAGCTCTTAAAAGTGGAAGATAAAACGTTCCTGAACTTTAACTTTTCTTGTCTGTCTGCCAAAACAGCTTCCACCTCACCTACACACTGTGTACAATTTGAACTTGAATTGGAGCTTATCAATACATCTCAGTAACCCACAGTGCAGGTGCCACTTTATTGGTCACTGATTAATCGACATTGCAGGGAAGAATGTCAGGGATGACTCATTGTTCAGACTGGAGGTTCAAGTTAAACATCATACAGTTTCTCCTCATTAAGGCACAACCCCTGGTTTCCCCTGGTAAGGCATAAAACAGATTAAGCAAAACAGGGATGTGCAGGGATAGCAGCCTCATGAGTTATCTTCACATCCCCTCTCATTACACAACCACAAATCACCATCGAAATATACAGGTGAAACTCAAAAAATTAGAATATCGTGCAAAAGTTCATTTATTTCAGTAACGCAACTTAAAAGGTGAAACTAATATATGAGATAGACTCATTACATGCAAAGCAAGATAGTTCAAGCTGTTATTTGTCATAATTGTGATGATTATGGCTTACAGCTCATGAAAACCCCAAATCCACAATCTCAGAAAATGAGAATATTGTGAAAAGGTGCAATATTCTCGGCTCAAAGTGTCCCTACTCTAATCAGCTAATTAAGCCGCAACACCTGCAAAGGGTTCCTGGGCCTTTAAATGGTCTCTCAGTCTGGTTCAGTAGGAATCACAATCATAGGAAAGACTGCTGACCTGACAGTTGTGCAGAAAACCATCATTGACACCCTCCATAAGGAGGGAAAGCCTCAAAGGGTAATTGCAAAAGAAGTTGGATGTTCCCAAAGTGTGCTGCATCAAAGCACATTAATAGAAAGTTATGTGGAAGGGAAAAGTGTGGAAGAAAAAGGTGCACAGGCAGCTGGGATGACCACAGCCTGGAGAGGATTGTCAGGAAAAGGCCATTCAAAATTGTTGGGGACTTTCACAAGGAGTGGACTGAGGCTGGAGTCAGTGCATCAAGAGCCACCAAACACAGAAGGATCCTGGACATGGGCTTCAAATGTCGTATTCCTCTTGTCAAGCCGCTCCTGAACAACAAACAGCGTCAGAAGCGTCTTACCTGGGCTAAAGAAAAACAGACCTGGTCTGTTGCTCAGTGGTCCAAAGTCCTCTTTTCTGATGAGAGCAACTTTTGCATCTCATTTGGAAACCAAGGACCCCGAGAATGGAGGAAGAATGGAGAGGCACACACTGCAAGATGCTTGAAGTCCAGTGGAGAGGCACACACTGTGCTTGAAGTGTGAAGTTCCACAGTCTGTGTTGATTTGGGGAGCCATGTCATCTGCTGGTGTTGGTCCACTGTGCTTCATTAAGTCCAGGGTCAACGCAGCCGTCTACCAGGAGATGTTGGAGCACTTCATGCTTCCTTCCGTAGGCGAGCTTTATGGGGATGCTGACTTCATTTTCCAGCAGGACTTGGCACTTGCCCACACTGCCAAAAGCACCAAAACCTGGTTCAATGACTGTGGAATTACTGTGCTTCATTGGCCAGCAAACTTTCCTGACCTGAACCCCATAGAGAATCAATGGGGCATTGCCAAGAGAAAGATGAGAGACATGAGACCGAACAATGCGGAAGAGCTGAAGGCCGCTATTGAAGCATCCTGGTCTTCCATAACACCTCAGCAGTGCCACAGGCTGATAGCTTCCATGCCACGCCGCATTGAGGCAGTAATTGCTGCAAAAGGGGCCCAAACCAAGTACTGAGTACATATGCATGCTTATACTTTTCAGAGGTCCGATATTGTTCTATGTACAATCCTTGTTTTATTGATTGCATGTAATATTCTAATTTTCTGAGATTGTGGATTTGGGGTTTTCATGAGCTGTAAGCCATAATCATCACAATTATGACAAATCACGGCTTGAACTATCTTGCTTTGCATGTAACCGAGTCTATCTGATATATTAGTTTCACCTTTTAAGTTGCATTACTGAAATAAATGAACTTTTGCACGATATTCTAATTTTTTGAGTTTCACCTGTATAACAGAACTTTATTGGTGCTACAATAATCAAAGAATGCTATAACCACCCAACATGGTATTAATTTGTAATAATGAAGCAGTGAGATATCCTATCTCTACGTGTTTCATAGAGAAAGTCCACTTCTTCAGGAGAAATGGAGGATGTGGTTTCTGCAACATACAAATGTGTCTTGGGCACATCTACTGTATATCTTACATTAACATTTTGTCAAAAGGTATAATTTGTACACAAACTTACATTCAGTGTGTCCTTGCTATATTCCCAACTATTAAAGGCAAATTACCCAGTGGTACAGGCAGGGCTGCTGTTAGAAGTCACAGGGCCCCATACAGCCAACCTGACAACCCCCCCCCCCAAAAAAAAATATCTCTGTTTATTATGCTTCAGTTATGAATGAACACAGTGAGTGATCAGTACCTATCACTCACTGTATTCATTCAGGAAAGGAAGGGGCTGGTAAATGTGATGTATTTACCGGACCTTTCCCATGCTCTCCATCCTGACCTATTGTGTGCTAGCAGCTGTCATTGAGGATAAGAGGAGGCAATCCGGCAGCATTGCGGGTGGGGGCACACAGGAGGGCCTGGGCAGCAGGGGGGAACATATGGTGCACAGGGGAAGGGGGGGGGGGGCAGTTACTGGAACCAATCCCCTGTATGGCCCTCTCTGCAGCAGCTGAAAGCCAGTGGAAGAGAGAGAAGAGGCCAGCTTTCAGCTGCTGCAAAAAGAGCCATACAGGGGATCGGCTCCAGTAATTCCCCACATGCTGTGCCAATCGCCTCCCTGCCCACATCCAATTCACCTAGTTACCTGGTCCCCCCTGCTAGCCTGGGCCCCGTACAGGAGGACTGGTGGTACCCCCTTATCCACGGCCCTGGGTACAGGGATAAGTCAAACATCTGTGGAGGACTTCATGGAATCATTATGAGATGTTAAGAGAAGATGGCATATATAGATATATCTTCCTCGGAATGTACCTGAATCTGAGAATTATAACGGACTCTATTAATAAAAGCTGATAGAAACAATTTTTCAAAAACATATCAAATGGTCCATGCTCGTGTGTACAAAAAAGCTATTCAAATATCATCTGTCATTTACTGTTTACTTAGTACCAATCCAACCACATGCGTCCAGCCAAGATATTTCTAACCACACAGTAACATCAGTGTGATGCTGAGGGAGCACACTTCCAGCATTGCATCATGCACTGCAACAGGCCACGTGTGCATGAACCACCATTCAAGGTAGTCACATGTGAAGGGTGGTGCACCCAATCAATGGTCTCCCCATCATCTCCGTTACCACAATGCAGGGACACACCAGAAGCTCAACACAGCAAAATGGCAGCTGAAGGCCTCCAGAAGTGTTCCCATACCATATCCAGCAAGCTGATACAAAAGAGGCAACCACTCCAATCAATTTATAACTAGCTTTTTTAAAGTAAGGTGTACACAGAATAGATTTGGTGTGGGGACACACTCAAGGCCTTCACAGTTACTGGGCTTTTCTGGACTTCTGGTATGTCTCAGTACCTGTAAGGAGGAATGGGCTCCCTCTAGGCACACCTGCCCTCATTTTATTCATTGCTATATATGCTCCAAGATGAAGGCCTTCATAGATTAGAATTAGAACCACACTACACTGAGGGGCCTTGATGAGACAGTGCGGCTTCCATACATATTTTTTCAATGTTTGTAATTAAAACCTTTTTTTAATGCAAATTAATAGTGCATTTAAATATTTTATTTTTTGCTGGCTGGTTAGGTTAGGAAGTGTGCTGGGACCTTTTATATTGTTTGTTTTGCGAAAAGCCCTTTCCATGTGCACCTTACTTTAATGAGCTAGTTTTGAATTGATTGACGCGGTTTCCATTTCTGTTTAAGATATCCAGTTCCTGTTGTGTGTGATAGTGAAGGTGAGGTGAATCTCTGTAACTGGGGTACAGACAACAAAGTAAATATAATCTGGTAGGAGGGTAACCCTTTGTCACTGGAGGTCCACTTTAACCGCTAGCCTACAGGGCACTTATAACCCCTTCCTGCCCAGGCCAATTTCCAGCTTTCAGCGCTGTCACACTTTGAATGACAATTGCGTGGTCATGCAACACTGTACCCATATGACATTTTTATCATTTTTTTGAGACAGCTAGAGCTTTCTTTTGGTGGTATTTAATAACCTCTGGGATTTTTATTTTTTCTTAAACAAACCAAAAACCACTGAAAATTTAAAAAAACAACAACGTTTTTTCTTAGTTTTTGTTTATACAATTTTGTAAATAAGTGATTTTTCTCCTTCACTGATGTGTGCTAATGAGACTGCAGTGATGGGCACTGATAGGCTGCACTGATAGACACTGATAGGTGGCACTGATGGGCACTGATGAGGAGGCACTGGTAGGTTGCACTGATGGGCATTGACAGGCATCACTGATGGGCACTGAAAGGCAGCACTGATACATAACACTGATATATGGCACTGATAGGCGGCACTGACTGGCACTGTTAGGCGGCACTGACTGGCACTGTTAGGCGGCACTGACTGGCACTGT